AATAGGTAAAGATACTCTCACATTAAGATTCGATCAAGTGAGAGTATCTTAAAGATAAAATCTAGATTATCTAAGAGAGAATGAGATTCTCTTACAGTGGACTCCTCCACATACACTACAGCATAGTGGTGTATCTAAAAAGAGGAATCATTAACTATTAGATATAGTGTGATTAATAACAAGCCATGCAAATCTCCAAAAATTGTTTTGGAGTCATGCACTGATTGCAGTGTGCAACACACTAAATCATGTCACATCTAAATTGGTTAACAGAACTCCATACGAATTATGGAAAGACAATAGTCCCAATTTATCTCATATGAAAGTTTTGGACCATAACGCTTATTTGAAGTGCTTTAAATTGGATAAGTTTGAGACTAAATCCGATAAATACATATTTGTGGTATGTTCAAAGCAGATATCTGAATATAAATTCTATTATTGTGAAGAAAGTCTTCATCTCACGACATACCATCTTCTTAGAGTAAATGTTTACTCTAGAGGAGGACAGTGGGAGCAAAATAGAATATTAAAGAGTTCAAGAGTCAACAAATATAGTTAGCCAAGTAGACGAATCCGAGTTTGATCCCATATCTGATATGAGACATACTTTTGATCAGGAAGTAGAAACTCCTGAGGACATAATAGCTCTATTTAAATCTAGTAGGATCATTCGACCTTGAAGAAGGTGCGAATCCACGATTACTAGTCAGGTATTATTGATCCAGGGTAATGAACCTGCTAGTTGCACCAAAATAAAGTCAAGTATTGACTTAAAAGAGACAGCAAGAGGCCATGAAACTCGAGATAAACTCGACATATGTGAACAAGGTTTGGACTTTGGTCAAGCCTCCTGATGGAATAAAACTCATAAGTTTTTTAAAATAGTTTACACGGAAAAGGTCGATATGAATGAGAATATCCATATATACAAAGCAAGGCTAATAGCAAAGGTTAAGTGTTGACCTTAGTAAAACCTTTCTCCTGTAGCCTTGCTGAAGTCCATTCGGGTTTTGCTTGCAACAGTTGCATATCGTGACTATAGGTTAAGAAAAGTCTCTTGGAGCTGAAATCTTCGATTTGATGAAAAGTC